AATTCAGTCACTGTGTGTAGCAGGTCTTTATGTAATACTAATCAATGCTTCATAGCATTTTATGCTATTGAAGAGGTATTTAAAAACTACTGATTATTATTCTAATAGTGAAAATTCAGACAAATGTTTTTCTGGTCATTGTTTTGTAGAGCACTAATGCTGAACAGGCTTTCCTGGCCACTCAACCAGCCATTGCTTCCTCTTGTGTGGTAAAGGGTTTGTAAAGCCAGTCATCCTTCTGATAGGCTTTCTCTTTTAACAGGCATTTTGGGGATTTTGTAATTCCTCCAAGCATTGCATTCCAGTAGGTCACCCAATATTCATGATGCCATTCAGGTCTTGTTCTGCTATTCATCGGAAGCATTAAGAAGACAGGAGTGAACAATCATCTTTCACTTTCTCAAGTCTGTCCAGAAGTATAAAAAAGAAATAGACCTTTTGAAAAGTGGAAATGTGTTTGGGCATAATAAAGGTCCTCTAGAAAGACTGTGAGACACTTATGTAGAGCTTTGTCCCTCAAAGTGAAAATGAGACTGTGATGGGACCAGTTTGTATGTAGTATTGTCGTGAGCGGAGCTGTAGTACTGCAATTGTCTGAATGATATATTGCTGAATCATATGCTGACCCACACTTTCCAAAGTACAGAAAAAGCAGTGATCCTTTAGATAATAACCTGACAGCTTCCCTCTTTCACCAGTGCTGTATCTAGACCTGTCTTTTTTCTTCAGTCTACTTTTTTTGTTCTCTGCTTGCCAGATATCCTGCAGTTTCTACTTATGACAGTTAGGTGTGAGTTACTTTTTGAGTCTGGGATAGGGTGTGTTTGTACAGGATTGTGTATAATTCCATTCTCTTTCTCCTCTAGAAGTCCTGTGTATATACAGATCAAATAGGGATGTCTTGGTGAACTGGAAACTAAGCCTTCCAAACTACCATTAGCACCAGTGAGTTGCTCCCACTTTATTCTTTCAGGAGGTCCCTGCAATGGGATCTTTCATGGTGATCCATGCATTTGAACTGACTGTCTTAAGAGAAGGCCTGGACTCTTAATGGTTGCAGAGTACTTCAGAAATATAGGAGGAATTTGATTCCTCCAAATCTCGGTTTCTGTTTAAACTTGCATTATATTCAGGTTGATACAGTGATACGGTGTGAACACAAATGTCTTCACAGTTTCTCAGTTAAGGCACTGATTCAGCAAGGTAATCTAGCATGCGAACTGCATCATGTGTGTAAATAGTGCTTGTAAAACCCATGCTGAATAAATAAGGGGAAACTCAAATAATTGAAGAGAAAATAAATGTATGTAGGGTAAGCTCATTCTGAACAATAAGCACATTGAAAATTAATTTGATTATTTCCAAGCCTTTCTCTCTCTCCATCTTTGGCTATGATTTTTGTTTAATTCTAAGGGTGTGATCAGGAATGGCAGGGTCAGATTGATTGTCCTCAAGTCTGCAGTCAGGTTTTGACAAACAGTTTAAGTCAGACCCCTCCTTGGCAGATGGTCTTTTACATTTCTGTGGTGTAGTGGGAGAGGTATTTCTATGGTCTGTACAGTACTGCAGGCTGCTGTAAGAATTCACCATTGGAGAAGGAATAGCAAGGAGATCAGGCAGTTACTGATAAGCATATGTGGGCTACTGAGAAGGTCAGAATCGGATGCCTCCCACTGGGGCAGCCTGCAAAGAATTTTGCTGCCAGAGAAGTCACTTCTGTTCACATTAGAAAATCTCACAGGAAAGAGTAGAACAAAAAGAAGGGAAGGAGAAGAAAAAAATAAAGGGATTTTGTGATTGTATTTAATTTGTACAAAGGTACATCAGGTTAAAAAATTGGGGAATTTCATCAGGATTAGTGTCTGATTTTAACATCTCCAGATGTTTTCATAGACTGAAGTAAATTAATTTTTCAGGTGGAGTTGATTTCCCTTCAATTTAAAAGATGTTTGCTACTGCTGAAAACAGTTTTACAATAGTGGCATGAAGACAGAGCAAAATAAAAAATGCTAGAAATTTTTTAATAAATAAATGAATCATTTAAAATGGTCTCTTAAACAGAAATGCACATATCTCCTAAAAGTGATAGTTGTAGGATTTCTTGTCTCCTTTATGACAAGGATTGTACAGGCTACTCCACAAAAGTGAAGTTAAAACCCATGTCAGATAATCTGCAATGAGTATTCTTTATTTTGAGGCGTTGGAGAAGGAATATGATCAGAAACCCCTTCATTTACTTGGAACCTATTCTTTTTCCAACATTTTTCATTCTCAGTCATCTCCAATTACAGCAGAGCAGACATTAGAAGCCAGCTGCTGAGGTTACTCTTTTGTGCTGGGTAGTGATGGCAGAGTGAGAAATAAACTATGATCTGTGACCAAAGGCAGACTTGTAATTATTTGAATGTAATGATAATTGGCCTTAATACTCTAACAAATGCTCTGAGTTTGCACATTTCAAACTCTGCAGTTTCGATCAATTTTCTTGTTTACAAAATCAGCTTGCTGTTATTAGCGCCAAAATTACCCAGTAACAGAATGGTGAATGATGGAGTGAAGTTCACTGCAAAAGAAAGGGAAAAAAAAATGTACATAATTAGACAGTAGATTTAAATGCATTTCTACATAGGGATGGAGTTTGGAGGGGAAGGGGGTTGAGTGAGAATAGGAAGTGTTGATTCACTTTATTAGTACTGTTTGAAAGGTCTGTTGTTTTCTCCTCTTACCTGGTATGTTTAGACTCCTAAACTCAGGATGCAAAGGACTAGAACTTTCTCCTAAAATACAGGTGTGGTTGTTTCTCTGCGCCCCCCCCCCCCCCCCCCCCCCCCCCATATTAAGACTACATCCTTGGTGCTCTCAGCATGAATTATTCCCATTGCTTGTTGTTCAACACCCTGATCGGAGAGCAGATAAGACAGTTATTATTCCTGTTGTTGCTGATTTACTGTCACAGCTGTTTCCTCTTCTTGTGATTTTAATTTGAAGTTTCAGCCCACCAGGGGGCTAATAGTCCCCACCTATACAGCTTTAAAAGCTCACTGTTGTTTTCCACAGGAATGTTATTTCCATCCCTAGTCAGTGATTTATTTTTTTTTTCTCAGTGTTCCTCTGGTAACTGTCAGGCAGTATTCCATAGCCATTTTAATGAAAAACAAACAAACAAACAAAAAAAACCCAAACCGATGCAACTATTTAGATTGAAAGCTTAAAATTGAGAATTACTCTGTTTTGGTAGAAACTTGGCAAGTAAATTACTGTTTTACAGTATTCTAATGGGTGTTGGAGACTGATATAAAAAAAATGAACAAGACATTAGTCAGCATTTAGATCCTTTATATTTCTCTTATTTTTAAAATGTATCATATATAATTTGCTTCTTTTTTCCATATCTTGGGAAAATGTAGGGCAGGCAGCAAACCCTAGAGTATATTTCCCAATGGGGTCCTGCTTGTGGTGAGATGAATTCTGAAAACATAAGCAATTTCAGTGGAATCCAAGGTGTGATTGTATACTGCTAGCAGATTCTGCATACCTCATCAGTCCTGGGGGATCTCAGTTTGAGTGTGACTACAAAGTTGTGACTGCAAACTGGACAACCAAAAAGCAGTACTTCAAGAATGCTTTCCACCAGACTTCTTACAAGAACAGAATTACACATCTCTCTAATTCTTGAAGCAAAACTTAAGAAGCAATGAGTTTCTTGGTTTATCTTTAATTTTTAAGTGTTCTTAGTTTTAAATAATAAATGACCTTGAAAACCTTTCTGAACAAACAGAATTAACTGATGCTCAGCAGCCTGCTGTCTGCCTTTAGTATTATAGTGTGAGTTTGAGTGGCAGTCTTGGGTTTACATTTTTGTAAAATTTCTGGTTTTCTAGATTTATCACTTTTTATGTGTTTCAAGTCTGTGTACATGTTTATGTTTTCCTGTCTTTAAGTATATATTTTAATATAAACATTTACATTTTGTGATAGTTCTCTGCTGGCCCAAAAAGTGCTTTGATGAATTATTCTTCCTTCTAGTGTTAGGATGTTTTCTTTACCGATTCATCATCAGTATTAGAAATTTAACTCTTCATTGAGTTAATGTATCTTATCTCATTGGGAATCGCAGGAGTCTTACTCCAGGCCACCCTGTTTTTGATGGTTATTTCTTGCTTTGGGGTGTTGAGGAGGTGCATTGCGTTGCACTGCAAAAAGGGTGGAAGCTGAGCAGACTGATACAAGTGGCTATGTGAAACCTCATTGCTTTCAACTATTATTAAAGGGTGGTGCAATCTTTCCCCTCTTTGAGCAGGAGGATATTATTACCAAATATCAGTGTTCAAGGTCACTACTCTTTACAACATAAATTAAATATACTACTTCCTGAGGCCTGATTGATGGAAAATAAAGTATTAACTGCCAGGAAGCAGGTTTTCCAACACTATCACCCAGTCATGCAGTGGTCACTAAGCTTTTCAATACAACCTGAATATTGCATTGCTAGTTGTAAGATTTAAAGAATACACATTTTTAATAGTTATTCCAGAAGGAATGTTAATCACTGTGCTTTTGAGCTATTTTTGTTTATTGGAAACTTACCAGTTAATAAGTTAACTACTAATAACAACCATTAATGCAGACTCTTTGCTTGGGTAATGTTGCTTGCAGTGTTTAATAAATTAGGCTCAAAAAATAGAGCACAGTACAAAACTTGACTGACTTGCTGTAGAGGCAGCATAGAATTAGTCATTGGCTGTGAATGTTAATCACTCCACAGCAATGATAATTTACAGCATTGTTGTAGCACTCTTGTGCTCATAAAATGAACTTAATAACCCACTGCTACCCATGGGATAAGCCTTCCTTCTCCTTCCCTCCCCCTTGCAATTGAATACCCAGTCTGGCTGCATAATAGCCTTGTGAAATACTGCATTTAAAAGAGTGAGCAGCTGTATGATAAAATAAACAGCTCTAAAACAGATTTGTTAATTATCTCTTTCTTTTATTCACAGAGGGTGTTTGTGAGATATGGCTGACCAGTGAAGACACAGGGGCTTATGGCAGAGACATTGGCACAGATCTCCCTACGCTTCTGTGGAAGCTGGTTGAAGCTATTCCTGAGGGAGCTATGCTGAGGCTTGGCATGACAAACCCTCCCTATATTTTAGAGCATCTGGAGGTAAGGAAGAAAAGAGAATAATTTATATGCTGGCACAGGCATTTATTGAGTGAGTAAGTACTCACTTACTTGAACCTTGCGTAGTGTGCTTCATTTTAAGCAGTACCTTAAAAAAGTTACGGACTTCTAAGTAAATTTATAGAATTAGACTAATAGTGTTAAGCCATTTGACTGACACAACAGTTATCGAGATAATAAGACACTGAAATAATTTTTGAATTATAATGTTACTGAGGTCTCTGACCTGTGGAACGTTATTACAGTGATGTTGCATTTGTGCGTATGTCTACTGTTTTCAAGAACTGAAGGAAAAGTCATTAGCAGGTGATGGACTATGGGATTGAATTTGTCTTTCTGGTACACCTCAGACAAATATTTCCAGAAATGCTATATGCTGGTTTCACTCAACAATGTATTCATTATCCTATGTCAGATGCTATTCTGAGAGTGTGCAGAGCTTCCATGATAAGAAATGGAAATTCAGAGTGTATGTCTATGTTGAAAAAAATGTAACGAAGTAGTTCAGTGAGATTAAAAGCATGAAAGTGTACAACAGTGTGAATTTGAAAGAATATTGTGTGTATGCAGAACAGGAAGTTAAGAGTTTTGTGTCAAAGATAGGTTAGTTTGGTTGGATTCTGTCACCACATCAATCTATTGAAATTCACAGGAACTGTTTATAGAAAGAACCTAACTTTAAAGAGGAGGAAAAAGCTGGATATAGCTTAAGGTAAATTTTGTAACCACGTGCATCAACAATATCCACATAAATAGCTGGTGTCCATGCTGCTTTCCCAAAGATGTTATACAATTAATAGTTGCACTTAGGTTTTCTTAAGATGTCAAGGACAGTATTTTCTCACCAGAGTGCCATAACTGCATCTTTCCCTATTGAAGCACGTGGGCTAGAGAAATCTCATCTTGATGGGAATAAGCCATTTTTCACTTATTCTTATTCTTTGATTTAATGTACACTTCACTAAGATAAGAGTCTTAACAACACACTGCATAGAAATCTTTAGGAAGCAGTTTGGTTGTGGTTTTTAGAGCTTTGCATTCTGTCTTGAACTCTTAGATCTGTCACGTTTTTCTCTTTTTTATTTTTTTTTTATTGTAACATTTTTCAGAATCTTGTGTAAAGGCAAATCAAGTTTTTAACAATTTTCACAGCTAGGGTCTTTGCTTTCATTTTTAACTCATATTATTAAAAGTGTATTGGCGTAGACTGCTGCTTTTGTCACTGTTGCTCATCTTATGAGTACTCTCAGAAGATATTTTTTTTTTTTAAATCACTTGCTGAAAATAAGAAACTGCTCTGCTCAGCTAAGGGGTACTGTAGTAGTCCTAATTCGATATAATCTGAGCAGGGTGGAAATTATATCGCTTTCCTTCAATCAGTAGCCATCTTGGTGAGCGTGAGTTTGTCACAAATCTGTGAATGGTTTTAATTGATGGTCTCTAGTCTTCCTGTTTCTAAATCTTCTAGGAAGTGCTGTAAGTAGAACTCTCTTTGACCTGACTCATGTTCAGGAGAAGTACTCTAATCTCTTTAAAAATGGATCTTTAAGTGTGATGGCAGAGGAAGAGGAATTCATGAAAGCCTATTAAAGATGTGTGTCTTGAATGTTGCTGTGTGGAACATGTATTATGTGTACACCAGCCTTTTTGTACAATAGCAACATATGCTGGTGCTTGTCCTCTTCAGTGTTTCATACAGTTTCCAGGTTTTTTGTTTTTTTTTTTTTTAAGGATTATTTAATCACATTTCTGTGTCTCATGTACGACCAAGAATTTCTGAGCTTCTAATTTGGTGAAATAATTTTGATGATTGGTCAAGCTAAATTTGTAAAAATTTTTTTTACCTTCTGCTTTTTTGTCTAGTCCCCTATTCCAAGCTTATCAGACTTGTATCTGAAAGATCACTAGGGAATGTTGGCAGTCTCCTGTATACATTTTCACCAGACAAAATAAACTTTTTATGGGGAATGTGCATTTAACTTTCCTGTTGAGGAAAAGGTAAAACTATAATTTGTTTAAAAAACAAAATAAATGAGAAGTTGATTAACCTTCACGTCAGTTGATTAGGATGAAATCCAGATGTAGTTCTGTTATCTGCTAAGAAAGGTATGAAGCTGTGTTATTGGTTGCAAACTTATTTCATTAAGCGCTTTTAAAAAGTTCAGAATTTTATTAATTTATTTTGTTAGAAGTCACGTTACTAACTGGGATGTTGTTTGGCTTCCTGCAAAGAAATTTTACATGGGAAAATATACTAATCGTGTGTCACTTCTTACATCCAATGCAAAGGAAAAAGTTGTTCAAGTCATGTGTCTTTTAAAAATCAGAAAATTTCAGCAATTGCATGCAACTGTTAGGCAAGGGTTTATTTCACTTTAGTAATGAACACATCTGATAAGTGGAATAGAGCAACAAGCAGTCATGTAAAAGCATAAATTAAGATCTGGACAAAACTTCCCCAGAGACAGCTTAAAAGCAATGATTTTGATTCATTTACAGTTTTTGCCATATTTATTAAAGCTTACCTGCAGGTAAAAGGTTTGGCCAATTTTATATGTCTCTTATTTTTAAGTAACCTCCAAAGCTAATAACAAAGTTTATATAAACATTTGTTTTCTCCAGTAACACTCTGTTGTAAGTTAAATGTTTTTTAAATACCATTTCCAAAGACACTATGTACATTTTTTTAATACCAATTTGTAGTATTGCATGAACTCTATCATTAGAGCTGGTTTTGTACTTAAATACGGATTTTTATGACATTTCACAAATCATTTGTTCTCCTTTGCATAGCCATGTATTTTAATCTCAGACCAGTCAAAGTGTCAGGTTAGTGGCCTGATTGTGTGCTTAGAATTCGCAGATTTCTTTTACTCTTTGCTGGAGTTTCTGCACCTTTCAGTTGTCAGAATGGGAGGATATTGGGAATAAAAAGAACCGGGATGTGCAGACTAGCACCCTGAGTTGTAGATGGTACAGCTGCAGTAGAAGCAAAGAATTCCTCAGATCACAATGACAATGCTAATGTCCTCAATGAATGAGGAAGAAGTTTAAGCTATGGATAATATGGTTGAATAAAGGACGAAACATTTAAAAATGTATCACTTTACATGCAGTGAGTGTTGGGTTTTGCTGCTCTGGCTTCACACCACAGTCCATTGAAATATACCCAATTTATATTGTTTATGTTGCTTGGGTGGATCTTTAAGATGTAGCTAGACATGAGGTACTTCAGTTACATAATAGTGTCTCGATGGTTCTCAGAAAAATAGATTGTATCCACTGACTAAAATAATACAAACTTTTCATACATGTATTTTGTCACTATAGGTAGAATAGCTTTCTCCTTCATTAAAAGATATTTAGCCCGTTTTTTGATAAGGTGCTTGATAAACTGCTTATGGATTGAAATTTATTTGCAAGTGCCAAAAAATTGATTACAGGTTCTTATTTTTTCCTTATAAAAATAATTTCATAAACATACTCTGATACTGTCTGCTCAGAAGGTGTATGGTGGATGGGATTATGACCAGAGATCTGTTTAAGCTGTGGCTGGGCTTTGGCCCTGTGAGTCTTTTGACTCATTAATACAGTGCTCACACTCTCAGATTCTCTGGAAATAACAGTGGAGCAACAGAAAATGCCACTTAATTCAGGAGTGTTGCATCTACCTCTGTATCTGGGAATCACTGTCTTAGTATCCACTGAGAAGTGCCAGCCAGAAGTGCTGCTGTTCTGCTGATACTGGAGGCCAGCACAAGGAGAGGAGAGTGAGAAGGAGGAAGAGGAGGCGGAGGAGGGAGGAGAGCTTTCCTTGGGTCAGGAGTGGTGGGACTAGAGCAGAGGAGGCGGCAAAGGAAAGCTGCGGGTGCTTGTAACTGGCCTTCTGTCTCTCATGCTTAGAAAGCTTGGTAGATCTGGGGGCCTGGGCCAGTGGTCATTCAAACTCAGGTTTATTTATAGGTCAGTTTAAGTGCTCACATGATTTAAAATACTGAGCGTGTGCAGTGCCCTCATGTACTGCTGTCAGGTAAATGCCATTCTGCCCTTAAAGACATCTGGCATTTCAGGAGATGCTGTTAATCTCATGAAAATCATTGTTATACTTGTGTGGTACAGTCTGACGATATAGTACTTTTAGGTTTTTATTCGATAAATATGGTGGTAATAGTACCTTATGTACTTACGGATGCATGTACGGTTTTGTGATGAGAAGCAACCATATGTTTTCAAATTATAAAGTCTGCATTCAGTTGGGCCTTCTTATTTGTAAAGAAAGAAATATTTGGAACCATGCAGTGTTTTGTAGTAATGCAAAATATTAATCAGTTTTTGATATGCTGCATATTGAGCTAAGGCATTAGAAAAAGAGCCTTTGTCACAATTATTCAGGGTATAATCTAAAATACTAAACTTTTCATCTGCTGTTTTCTTCAGCTGCAGATGATGTCTATCCTTACATTAGTGAGTAGTATGAAGCAGTAAGAGCAGATCAGGAAATCACAGAATCTGGTAGAGAAGCCGCTATATCCACATTATCTGCATTTTGAAGCCTTTACTTCAAAATAAATCTAATCCCCTTAACCAAACTTTCCCATTATTCATGGTCCAAAGCCATTTGAATGGCAGATGGTCAGTTTGAATACCTCTGTTCCCACCAAGGGCTTGGAGCATATTCACTGTGAACCTGAAGTATGGCCACTGCTCTGATTTCCTTGGAAGCAAATTCAGTTTGCTCACCCCAAAGTCACCCTGCAGACTGAACAAACCCATGGCTGTGAAGGAAGCATGGGAAATTGTACTTTACGGTTTCACTGCTGTTTTCAACCAGCACATTAATTCAACCATCACAGCCAATGCTAATATGACTTCTCTTGCACGAGGTTTGTTGGTATGACAGAGAAGGTTATTTGGTGTATTTTAAAAAAAAAAAACAACAAAAAACAACCCACAACCTGAAGGACCTGAGACCCTGACATTGT